TCGACCACAACCGTGTGGTGCTGACGGACGGAGACCCAGACGTGCCTGGCTCCGACTACATCAACGCCAACACCATCACGGTAACCATGGCAACACCAGCACGGTAACCATGCCAACACCATCACGGTAACCACGGCAACACCATCACGGTAACCATGGCAACACCATCACGGCAACCATGGCGACACCATCACGGTAACCATGGCGACACCATCACGGTAACCATGGCGACACCACCACGGTAACCATGGCGACACCATCACGGTAACCACGGCAAACACCATCACGGTAACCATGGCGACACCGTGGTTATCTTCACTCCCCCCATCTCCCCCCACCCCCCATCCCCCTCAACTCCCCCTCCCCTCCCCCCACAACCCCCCACAACCCCCCACCCCCTCCCCCCCACCCCCCCCCCCCACCCCCACCCCCCACCCCCCACCCCCCCAGTATTCGATCTCCGAGAGCGTTCCGCCCTGCCGCTACATCGCCACCCAGGGTTGCCTGGCAACGACCCTCAACGACTTCTGGAGGATGATTTACCAAGAGGACTCGCGTGTGGTTGTCATGACAACCAAAGAAGTGGAGAGGGGGAAGGTGAGTGAGTGGGTGGGTGAGTGGGTGGGTGGGTGAGTGGGTGGGTGAGTGAGTGAGTGGGTGAGTGGGTGAGTGAGTGGGTGAGTGGGTGGGTGGGTGTGTGAGTGAGTGAGTGAGTGGGTGAGTGAGTGGGTGGGTGAGTGGGTGAGTGGGTGAGTGAGTGGGTGAGTGGGTGAGTGAGTGAGTGAGTGGATGAGTAAGTGGGTGAGTGAGTGGGTGAGTGAGTGAGTGGGTGAGTGAGTGAGTGAGTGGGTGAGTGAGTGAGTGAGTGGGTGAGTGGGTGATTGAGTGGGTGGGTGAGTGGGTGGGTGAGTGGGTGGGTGAGTGAGTGGGTGAGTGAGTGGGTGAGTGAGTGAGTGAGTGGGTGAGTGGGTGGGTGGGTGGGTGAGTGAGTGGTGAGTGAGTGGGTGAGTGGGTGGGTGGGTGAGTGGGTGAGTGGGTGGGTGAGTGGGTGAGTGGGTGGGTGAGTGAGTGGGTGAGTGGGTGGGTGGGTGAGTGAGTGAGTGGTGAGTGAGTGGGTGGGTGGGTGGGTGAGTGAGCGAGTGGGTGGGTGGGTGGGTGAGTGAGTGACTGAGTGAGTGACTATCTGAGTGACTAGCTGAGTGACTGAGTGAGTGACTAGCTGAGAGACTAACTGAGTGACTACCTACAGAACAAGTGCGTGACTAGCTGAGTGAGTGACTGAGTGAGTGACTATCTGAGTGACTAGCTGAGTGACTAGCTGATTGAGTGACTAGCTGAGTGACTATCTGAGTGACTATCTGAGTGACTGAGTGAGTGACTAGCTGAGAGACTAACTGAGTGACTGCCTACAGAACAAGTGCGTGACTAGCTGAGTGAGTGACTATCTGAGTGACTGAGTGACTATCTGAGTGAATATCTGAGTGACTAGCCGAGTGACTAGCTGATTGAGTGACTATCTGAGTGACTATCTGAGTGACTAGCTGAGTGAGTGAGTGACTAGCTGAGTGACTGAGTGAATGAGTGACTAGCTGACTATCTGAGTGACTATCTGAGTGACTAACTGAGTGACTGACTGAGTGACTAGCTGAGTGACTGAGTGAGTGAGTGACTAGCTGACTGAGTGAGTGACTATCTGAGTGAGTGGGTGGGTGAGTGAGTGGGTGGGTGGGTGGGTGAGTGAGTGAGTGAGTGAGTGAGTGAGTGGGTGAGTGGGTGGGTGGGTGAGTGGGTGAGTGAGTGGGTGAGTGAGTGGGTGAGTGAGTGAGTGGGTGAGTGGGTGGGTGGGTGAGTGGGTGAGTGAGTGGGTGGGTGGGTGAGTGAGTGAGTGGGTGAGTGGGTGGGTGGGTGAGTGGGTGAGTGAGTGGGTGGGTGGGTGAGTGAGTGAGTGGGTGAGTGAGTGGGTGGGTGAGTGAGTGGGTGAGTGAGTGAGTGGGTGGGTGAGTGAGTGGGTGGGTCAGTGAGTGGGTGGGTGAGTGGGTGAGTGAGTGGGTGAGTGAGTGAGTGAGTGGGTGGGTGGGTGAGTGAGTGAGTGGGTGAGTGAGTGGGTGAGTGAGTGAGTGAGTGGGTGAGTGAGTGGGTGGGTGGGTGAGTGAGTGGGTGGGTCAGTGAGTGGGTGGGTGAGTGGGTGAGTGAGTGAGTGAGTGGGTGAGTGAGTGGGTGAGTGAGTGGGTGAGTGAGTGAGTGGGTGAGTGAGTGGGTGAGTGAGTGGGTGGGTGAGTGGGTGGGTGGGTGAGTGAGTGGGTGAGTGGGTGAGTGAGTGGGTGGGTGAGTGAGTGTGTGGGTGAGTGAGTGTGTGGGTGAGTGAGTGAGTGGGTGGATGAGTGGGTGAGTGAGTGGGTGAGTGAGTGGGTGGGTGGGTGAGTGAGTGGGTGGGTGAGTGAGTGGGTGGGTGAGTGGGTGAGTGAGTGAGTGAGTGGGTGAGTGAGTGGGTGAGTGAGTGGGTGGGTGAGTGGGTGGGTGGGTGAGTGAGTGGGTGAGTGGTGAGTGAGTGGGTGGGTGAGTGAGTGTGTGGGTGAGTGAGTGTGTGGGTGAGTGAGTGAGTGGGTGGGTGAGTGGGTGAGTGAGTGGGTGGGTGAGTGAGTGGGTGGGTGAGTGAGTGGGTGGGTGAGTGAGTGGGTGGGTGAGTGAGTGAGTGGGTGGGTGAGTGTGTGGGTGAGTGGGTGAGTGGGTGAGTGAGTGACTAACTGAGTGACTACCTACAGAACAAGTGCGTGACTATACTGAGTGACTGACTGAGTGACTGCCTACAGAACAAGTGCGTGACTATACTGAGTGAGTGAGTGACTGAGTGAGTGACTAGCTGAGTGACTAGCTGAGTGATTGAGTGACTATCTGAGTGATTGAGTGACTATCTGAGTGATTGAGTGACTATCTGAGTGATTGAGTGACTATCTGAGTGACTATCTGAGTGACTAGCTGAGTGACTGAGTGACTACCTACAGAACAAGCGCATGACTAGCTGAGTGAGTGACTATCTGAGTGACTATCTGAGTGACTATCTGAGTGAGTGACTATCTGAGTGACTAACTGAGTGACTATCTGAATGACTATCTGAGTGAGTGACTATCTGAGTGACTAACTGAGTGACTGCCTACAGAACAAGTGAGTGACTATCTGAGTGACTATCTGAGTGACTATCTGAGTGACTAGCTGACTATCTGAGTGACTATCTGAGTGACTATCTGAGTGACTATCTGAGTGAGTGACTATCTGAGTGACTATCTGAGTGAGTGACTATCTGAGTGACTAACTGAGTGACTGCCTACAGAACAAGTGAGTGACACTCTGAGTGACTATCTGAGTGAGTGACTATCTGAGTGACTATCTGAGTGAGTGACTATCTGAGTGACTAACTGAGTGACTGCCTACAGAACAAGTGAGTGACTATCTGAGTGACTATCTGAGTGAGTGACTATCTGAGTGACTATCTGAGTGAGTGACTATCTGAGTGACTAACTGAGTGACTATCTGAGCGACTGAGTGACTAACTGAGTGACTGCCTACAGAAGAAGTGCGTGACTATCTGAGTGACTATCTGAGTGACTAGCTGAGTGAGCGAGTGACTATCTGAGTGACTATCTGAGTGACTATCTGAGTGACTATCTGAGTGAGTGAATATCTGAGTGACTAACTGAGTGACTATCTGAGTGACTATCTGAGTGACTATCTGAGTGAGTGACTATCTGAGTGACTAACTGAGTGACTGCCTACAGAACAAGTGAGTGACTATCTGAGTGACTATCTGAGTGACTATCTGAGTGACTAGCTGACTATCTGAGTGACTATCTGAGTGACTATCTAAGTGACTATCTGAGTGACTATCTGAGTGATTAACAATCTGAGTGACTATCTGAGTGAGTGACTATCTGAGTGACTAACTGAGTGACTAGCTACAGAACAAGTGAGTGACTGTCTGAGTGACTATCTGAGTGACTGAGTGAGTGACTATCTGAGTGACTAACTGAGTGACTGCCTACAGAACAAGTGAGTGACTATCTGAGTGACTATCTGAGTGACTAACTGAGTGACTAACTGAGTGACTAACTGAGTGACTAACTGAGTGACTGCCTACAGAACAAGTGCGTGACTATCTGAGTGACTATCTGAGTGACTAACTGAGTGACTGCCTACAGAACAAGTGCGTGACTATCTGAGTGACTATCTGAGTGACTATCTGAGTGACTATCTGAGTGAGTGACTATCTGAGTGACTAACTGAGTGACTAGCTGATTGAGTGACTAGCTGAGTGACTATCTGAGTGACTATCTGAGTGACTGAGTGAGTGACTAGCTGAGAGACTAACTGAGTGACTGCCTACAGAACAAGTGCGTGACTAGCTGAGTGAGTGACTATCTGAGTGACTGAGTGACTATCTGAGTGAATATCTGAGTGACTAGCCGAGTGACTAGCTGATTGAGTGACTATCTGAGTGACTATCTGAGTGACTAGCTGAGTGAGTGAGTGACTAGCTGAGTGACTGAGTGAATGAGTGACTAGCTGACTATCTGAGTGACTATCTGAGTGACTAACTGAGTGACTGACTGAGTGACTAGCTGAGTGACTGAGTGAGTGAGTGACTAGCTGACTGAGTGAGTGACTATCTGAGTGAGTGGGTGGGTGAGTGAGTGGGTGGGTGGGTGGGTGAGTGAGTGGGTGAGTGAGTGAGTGAGTGGGTGAGTGGGTGGGTGGGTGAGTGGGTGAGTGAGTGGGTGAGTGAGTGGGTGAGTGAGTGAGTGGGTGAGTGGGTGGGTGGGTGAGTGGGTGAGTGAGTGGGTGGGTGGGTGAGTGAGTGAGTGGGTGAGTGGGTGGGTGGGTGAGTGGGTGAGTGAGTGGGTGGGTGGGTGAGTGAGTGAGTGGGTGAGTGAGTGGGTGGGTGAGTGAGTGGGTGAGTGAGTGAGTGGGTGGGTGAGTGAGTGGGTGGGTCAGTGAGTGGGTGGGTGAGTGGGTGAGTGAGTGGGTGAGTGAGTGAGTGAGTGGGTGGGTGGGTGAGTGAGTGAGTGGGTGAGTGAGTGGGTGAGTGAGTGAGTGAGTGGGTGAGTGAGTGGGTGGGTGGGTGAGTGAGTGGGTGGGTCAGTGAGTGGGTGTGTGAGTGGGTGAGTGAGTGAGTGAGTGGGTGAGTGAGTGGGTGAGTGAGTGGGTGAGTGAGTGAGTGGGTGAGTGAGTGGGTGAGTGAGTGGGTGGGTGAGTGGGTGGGTGGGTGAGTGAGTGGGTGAGTGGGTGAGTGAGTGGGTGGGTGAGTGAGTGTGTGGGTGAGTGAGTGTGTGGGTGAGTGAGTGAGTGGGTGGATGAGTGGGTGAGTGAGTGGGTGAGTGAGTGGGTGGGTGGGTGAGTGAGTGGGTGGGTCAGTGAGTGGGTGGGTGAGTGGGTGAGTGAGTGAGTGAGTGGGTGAGTGAGTGGGTGAGTGAGTGGGTGGGTGAGTGGGTGGGTGGGTGAGTGAGTGGGTGAGTGGGTGAGTGAGTGGGTGGGTGAGTGAGTGTGTGGGTGAGTGAGTGTGTGGGTGAGTGAGTGAGTGGGTGGGTGAGTGGGTGAGTGAGTGGGTGAGTGAGTGGGTGGGTGAGTGAGTGGGTGGGTGAGTGAGTGGGTGGGTGAGTGAGTGAGTGGGTGGGTGAGTGTGTGGGTGAGTGGGTGAGTGGGTGAGTGAGTGACTAACTGAGTGACTACCTACAGAACAAGTGCGTGACTATACTGAGTGACTGACTGAGTGACTGCCTACAGAACAAGTGCGTGACTATACTGAGTGAGTGAGTGACTGAGTGAGTGACTAGCTGAGTGACTAGCTGAGTGATTGAGTGACTATCTGAGTGATTGAGTGACTATCTGAGTGATTGAGTGACTATCTGAGTGATTGAGTGACTATCTGAGTGACTATCTGAGTGACTAGCTGAGTGACTGAGTGACTACCTACAGAACAAGCGCATGACTAGCTGAGTGAGTGACTATCTGAGTGACTATCTGAGTGACTATCTGAGTGAGTGACTATCTGAGTGACTAACTGAGTGACTATCTGAATGACTATCTGAGTGAGTGACTATCTGAGTGACTAACTGAGTGACTGCCTACAGAACAAGTGAGTGACTATCTGAGTGACTATCTGAGTGACTATCTGAGTGACTAGCTGACTATCTGAGTGACTATCTGAGTGACTATCTGAGTGACTATCTGAGTGAGTGACTATCTGAGTGACTATCTGAGTGAGTGACTATCTGAGTGACTAACTGAGTGACTGCCTACAGAACAAGTGAGTGACACTCTGAGTGACTATCTGAGTGAGTGACTATCTGAGTGACTATCTGAGTGAGTGACTATCTGAGTGACTAACTGAGTGACTGCCTACAGAACAAGTGAGTGACTATCTGAGTGACTATCTGAGTGAGTGACTATCTGAGTGACTATCTGAGTGAGTGACTATCTGAGTGACTAACTGAGTGACTATCTGAGCGACTGAGTGACTAACTGAGTGACTGCCTACAGAAGAAGTGCGTGACTATCTGAGTGACTATCTGAGTGACTAGCTGAGTGAGCGAGTGACTATCTGAGTGACTATCTGAGTGACTATCTGAGTGACTATCTGAGTGAGTGAATATCTGAGTGACTAACTGAGTGACTATCTGAGTGACTATCTGAGTGACTATCTGAGTGAGTGACTATCTGAGTGACTAACTGAGTGACTGCCTACAGAACAAGTGAGTGACTATCTGAGTGACTATCTGAGTGACTATCTGAGTGACTAGCTGACTATCTGAGTGACTATCTGAGTGACTATCTAAGTGACTATCTGAGTGACTATCTGAGTGATTAACAATCTGAGTGACTATCTGAGTGAGTGACTATCTGAGTGACTAACTGAGTGACTAGCTACAGAACAAGTGAGTGACTGTCTGAGTGACTATCTGAGTGACTGAGTGAGTGACTATCTGAGTGACTAACTGAGTGACTGCCTACAGAACAAGTGAGTGACTATCTGAGTGACTATCTGAGTGACTAACTGAGTGACTAACTGAGTGACTAACTGAGTGACTGCCTACAGAACAAGTGAGTGACTATCTGAGTGACTATCTGAGTGACTGAGTGAATGAGGTACTAGCTGAGTGAGTGACTATCTGAGTGACTATCTGAGTGACTATCTGAGTGACTAACTGAGTGACTACCTACAGAACAAGTGAGTGACTATCTGAGTGACTATCTGAGTGACTGAGTGAGTGACTATCTGAGTGACTAACTGAGTGACTGCCTACAGAACAAGTGAGTGACACTCTGAGTGACTATCTGAGTGAGTGATGATCTGAGTGACTATCTGAGTGACTATCTGAGTGACTAGCTGATTGAGTGACTATCTGAGTGACTATCTGAGTGACTAGCTGAGTGAGTGAGTGACTAGCTGAGTGACTGAGTGAATGAGTGTCTAGCTGACTATCTGAGTGACTATCTGAGTGACTAACTGAGTGACTATCTGAGTGACTGAGTGAGTGACTATCTGAGTGAGTGATTATCTGAGTGACTATCTGAGTGACTATCTGAGTGAGTGACTATCTGAGTGACTATCTGAGTGATTGACTATCTGAGTGACTAACTGAGTGACTGCCTACAGAACAAGTGAGTGACTAACTGAGTGACTATCTGAGTGACTATCTGAGTGACTATCTGAGTGACTAACTGAGTGACTACCTACAGAACAAGTGAGTGACTAACTGAGTGACTATCTGAGTGACTGAGTGAGTGACTATCTGAGTGACTAACTGAGTGACTGCCTACAGAACAAGTGAGTGACTAACTGAGTGACTATCTGAGTGACTGAGTGAGTGACTAACTGAGTGACTAACTGAGTGACTACCTACAGAACAAGTGAGTGACTATCTGAGTGAGTGACTATCTGAGTGACTATCTGAGTGACTATCTGAGTGAGTGACTAACTGAGTGACTAACTGAGTGACTACCTACAGAACAAGTGAGTGACTATCTGAGTGACTATCTGAGTGAGTGACTATCTGAGTGACTATCTGAGTGAGTGACTAACTGAGTGACTAACTGAGTGACTACCTACAGAACAAGTGCGTGACTAACTGAGTGACTACCTACAGAACAAGTGAGTGACTAACTGAGTGACTACCTACAAAACAAGTGAGTGACTATCTGAGTGACTATCTGAGTGACTGAGTGACTAACTGAGTGACTACCTACAGAACAAGTGATTGACTAACTGAGTGACTACCTACAGAACAAGTGAGTGACTAACTGAGTGACTACCTACAGAACAAGTGAGTGACTCTCTGAGTGACTAACTGAGTGACTGCCTACAGAACAAGTGAGTGACTAACTGTGTGACTAACTGAGTGACTGCCTACAGAACAAGTGAGTGACTATCTGAGTGACTGAGTGAGTGACTGAGTGAGTGACTAACTGAGTGACTAACTGAGTGACTACCTACAGAACAAGTGAGTGACTATCTGAGTGACTATCTGAGTGACTATCTGAGTGACTGAGTGAGTGACTAACTGAGTGACTAACTGAGTGACTACCTACAGAACAAGTGAGTGACTATCTGAGTGACTATCTGAGTGACTATCTGAGTGACTATCTGAGTGAGTGACTATCTGAGTGACTAACTGAGTGACTACCTACAGAACAAGTGCGTGACTATCTGAGTGACTATCTGAGTGACTATCTGAGTGAGTGACTAACTGAGTGACTAACTGAGTGACTACCTACAGAACAAGTGAGTGACTATCTGAGTGACTATCTGAGTGACTATCTGAGTGAGTGACTATCTGAGTGACTAACTGAGTGACTACCTACAGAACAAGTGAGTGACTATCTGAGTGACTATCTGAGTGAATAACTGAGTGACTATCTGAGTGAGTGATTATCTGAGTGACTATCTGAGTGACTATCTGAGTGAGTGACTAACTGAGTGACTAACTGAGTGACTACCTACAGAACAAGTGCGTGACTAGCTGAGTGACTATCTGAGTGAGTGACTATCTGAGTGACTAACTGAGTGACTACCTACAGAACAAGTGAGTGACTAACTGAGTGACTATCTGAGTGAATAACTGAGTGACTATCTGAGTGAGTGATTATCTGAGTGACTATCTGAGTGACTATCTGAGTGAGTGACTAACTGAGTGACTAACTGAGTGACTACCTACAGAACAAGTGCGTGACTAGCTGAGTGACTATCTGAGTGAGTGACTATCTGAGTGACTAACTGAGTGACTACCTACAGAACAAGTGAGTGACTAACTGAGTGACTATCTGAGTGACTATCTGAGTGACTATCTGAGTGACTATCTGAGTGACTAACTGAGTGACTATCTGAGTGAGTGACTATCTGAGTGACTATCTGAGTGACTATCTGAGTGACTATCTGAGTGACTATCTGAGTGAGTGACTATCTGAGTGACTAACTGAGTGACTATCTGAGTGACTGAGTGACTAACTGAGTGACTACCTACAGAACAAGTGCGTGACTAGCTGAGTGACTATCTGAGTGAGTGACTATCTGAGTGACTAACTGAGTGACTACCTACAGAACAAGTGAGTGACTAACTGAGTGACTATCTGAGTGACTATCTGAGTGACTATCTGAGTGACTATCTGAGTGACTAACTGAGTGACTATCTGAGTGAGTGACTATCTGAGTGACTATCTGAGTGACTATCTGAGTGACTATCTGAGTGACTATCTGAGTGAGTGACTATCTGAGTGACTAACTGAGTGACTATCTGAGTGACTGAGTGACTAACTGAGTGACTGCCTACAGAACAAGTGCGTGCGTTATTGGCCTGACGTGGGTTCGAGCCGCGACTTTGGGTCTCTCCGCGTCGAGTCGCTGAGTGAAGTCCCGCACAGCGATCACACCCAGAGACTCATGCGACTCTACCACACTTCTCACGTGAGTACCACCACGTGACTACCACCACGTGACCACCACCACGTGACTACCACCACGTGACTACCACCACGTGACTAACACACTCGCCACGTGACTAGCACCACGTGACTACCACCACGTGACTACCACCACGTGACTAACACACTCGCCACGTGACTAACACACTCGCCACGTGACAAACACCACGTGACTACTACACTCAGCACGTGACTACCACACTCACCACGTGACTACCACCACGTGACCACGACACTCACCACGTGACTACCACACTCCCCACGTGACTACGACACTCGCCACGTGACTACCACACTCACCACGTGACTACCACCACGTGACTATCACACTCACCACGTGACCACAACACTCACCACGTGACTACCACCACGTGACTACCAGACTCACCACGTGACTACCACCACGTGACTACCACACTCACCACGTGACTACCACACCCACCACGTGACTACCACCACGTGACTACCACACACACCACGTGACTACCACACTCACCACGTGACTACCACCACGTGACTACCACCCTCACCACGTGTGTGTCTAACGAGCCAGACTTAGTTAGACACGTCTGCCACTTCCACTAAGCTGTGTGTCTGTGACTCTTTGTGTGTCTATCTGTGTGTGTGTCTATCTGTGTCTGTGTCTATCTGTGTGTCTATCTGTGTGTGTGTCTCTGTGTGTGTCTATCTGTGTGTGTCTCTGTGTGTGTGTCTATCTGTGTGTCTGTGTCTCTCTGTGTGTGTCTATCTGTGTGTGTGTCTATCTGTGTGTCTGTGTTTCTCTGTGTGTGTCTATCTGTGTGTGTCTATCTGTTTGTCTGTGTCTCTCTGTGTGTGTCTATCTGTGTGTGTGTCTATCTGTGTGTCTGTGTCTCTCTGTGTGTGTCTATCTGTGTGTGTGTCTATCTGTGTGTCTGTGTTTCTCTGTGTGTGTCTATCTGTGTGTATCTATCTGTTTGTCTGTGTCTCTCTGTGTGTCTATCTGTGTGTGTGCCTATCTGTGTGTGTGTCTATCTGTGTGTCTATCTGTGTGTGTCTCTCTGTGTGTGTCTCTCTGTGTGTGTCTCTCTGTGTGTGTGTCTATCTGTGTGTGTCTGTGTGTGTGTCTCTCTGTGTGTGTCTATTTGTGTGTGTGTCTATCTGTGTGTCGCTGTGTGTGTTTTTATGTGTGTGTGTCTCTCTGTGTGTCTATCTGTGTGTATATCTGTGTGTGTCTATCTGTGTGTGTCCAAGTGTGTGTTTCTGTGTGTGCGTTTCTCTGTGTGTGTCTATCTGTGTGTGTGTCTATCTGTGTGTGTCTATCTGTGTGTGTCTATCTGTGTGTGTGGGTCTATCTGTGTGTCTATCTGTGTGTGTCTCTGTGTGTGTGTCTATCTAGCCAGACTTAGTTAGACAAGTCTGCCACTTCCACTTAGATGTGTGTGTCTATCTGTGTGTGTCTCTCTGTGTGTGTCTCTCTTTGTGTGTCTATCTGTGTGTGTCTATCTGTGTGTGTCTCTGTGCGTGTGTCTAACTAGCCAGACTTAGTTAGAAACGTCTGCCACTTCCACTAAGCTGTGTGTCTCTCACTGTGTGTGTGTCTACCTGTGTGTGTCTATCTGTGTGTGTGTCTGTGTGTGTCTCTCTGTGTGTTTGTGTGTGTCTATCTGTGTGTGTGTCTGTGTGTGTCTCTGTGTGTCTAACTAGCCAGACTTAGTTAGATACGTCTGCCACTTCCACTAAGCTGTGTGTGTGTCTCTGTGTGTGTCTCTGTGTGTCTATCTGTGTGTGTCTCTGTGTGTGTCTGTGTGTGTCCATCTAGCCAGACTTAGTTAGACACGTCTGCCACTTCCACTAAGCTGTGTGTGTCTGTGTGTGTGTCTCTCTGTGTGTCTATCTGTGTGTGTGTCTATCTAGCCAGACTTAGTTAGACACGTGTGCCACTTCCACTAAGCTGTGTGTGTCTCTGTGTGTGTGTCTGTGTGTGTCTGTGTGTGTCTATCTGTGTGTGTCTATCTAGCCAGACCTAGTTAGACACGTTTGCCACTTCCACTAAGCTGTGTGTGTGTGTCTGTGTGTGTGTCTCTGTGTGTCTATCTGTGTGTGTCTATCTGTGTGTGTCTATCTAGCCAGACCTAGTTAGACACGTCTGCCACTTCCACTAAGCTGTGTGTGTCTCTGTGTGTGTCTGTCTGTGTGTCTGTGTGTGTCTGTGTGTGTCTATCTGTGTGTGTCTATCTAGCCAGACCTAGTTAGACACGTCTGCCACTTCCACTAAGCTGTGTGTGTGTCTCTGTGTGTGTGTCTGTGTGTGTGTCTGTGTGTGTCTCTGTGTGTGTGTCTGTGTGTGTCTATCTGTGTGTGTCTATCTAGCCAGACCTAGTTAGACACGTCTGCCACTTCCACTAAGCTGTGTGTGTGTGTCTGTGTGTGTGTGTGTGTCTGTGTGTCTCTGTGTGTGTGTCTGTGTGTCTATCTGTGTGTGTGTCTATCTGTGTGTGTCTATCTGTGTGTGTGTCTATCTGTGTGTGTCTATCTAGCCAGCCCTAGTTAGACACGTCTGCCACTTCCACTAAGCTGTGTGTGTGTGTGTCTCTGTGTGTATCTGTGTGTGTCTGTGTGTGTGTCTATCTGTGTGTGTCTATCTAGCCAGACCTAGTTAGACACGTCTGCCACTTCCACTAAGCTGTGTGTATCTCTGTGTGTGTGTCTGTGTGTGTCTCTGTGTGTGTGTCTGTGTGTGTGTCTGTGTGTGTGTCTATCTGTGTGTCTATCTAGCCAGACCTAGTTAGACACGTGTGCCACTTCCACTAAGCTGTGTGTGTCTGTGTGTGTGTCTGTGTGTGTGTGTGTCTGTGTGTATCTGTGTGTGTCTCTGTGTGTGTGTCTGTGTGTGTGTCTGTGTGTGTGTGTCTGTGTGTGTCTGTGTGTGTCTATCTGTGTGTGTCTGTGTGTGTGTGTCTGTGTGTGTGTCTGTGTGTGTGTGTCTGTGTGTGTCTGTGTGTGTCTATCTGTGTGTGTGTCTATCTAGCCAGACCTAGTTAGACACGTCTGCCACTTCCACTAAGCTGTGTGTGTGTGTCTCTGTGTGTTTCTCTGTGTGTGTGTCTGTGTGTGTGTCTGTGTGTGTCTGTGTGTGTGTCTGTGTGTCTGTGTGTGTGTCTATCTGTGTGTGACTATCTAGCCAGACCTAGTTAGACACGTGTGCCACTTCCACTAAGCTGTGTGTGTCTGTGTGTGTGTGTCTGTGTGTATCTGTGTGTGTGTGTCTGTGTGTGTATCTGTGTGTGTGTGTCTGTGTGTGTCTGTGTGTGTGTCTGTGTGTGTCTGTGTGTGTGTCTGTGTGTGTGTGTCTGTGTGTGTCTGTGTGTGTCTATCTGTGTGTGTGTCTATCTAGCCAGACCTAGTTAGACACGTCTGCCACTTCCACTAAGCTGTGTGTCTGTGTGTGTGTCTGTGTGTGTGTCTGTGTGTGTCTATCTGTGTGTGTCTGTGTGTGTGTCTCTGTGTGTGTGTGTGTCTGTGTGTGTCTGTGTGTGTGTCTATCTGTGTGTGTCTAACTAGCCAGACCTAGTTAGACACGTCTGCCACTTCCACTAAGCTGTGTGTGTCTGTGTGTGTGTATCTCTCTGTGTGTGTGTCTGTGTGTGTCTGTGTGTGTGTGTCTATCTGTGTGTGTCTATCTAGCCAGACCTAGTTAGACACGTCTGCCACTTCCACTATTTGTCGTGGCCCGACCATGGAGTTCCCGAGACAGCGTCGGGAATTCTTTACTTCCTGGCAGAGGTGAACGCACGCATGGCCGAAACGTCGCGGGCAGGGCCCGTGGTTGTGCACTGCAGGTGAGTGATGTCAACAACAACAACAACAACTACAGCCACAACAACAGCCACAACAACAACAACAACAGCCACAACAACAAGCACAACCACAACAACAACAACAACTACTACTACAGCCACAACAACTACCACAACAACAACAACTACCACAACAACAACTACAACTACAACAACTACAACAACAACAACCACCAAAACAACAACTACAACAACCACCACAACTACCACAACAACAACTACTACAGGCACAACAACCACAACAGCAACCACAACAACAACCACAATCACAACAACTACCACAACAACTACCACAACAACAACAACCACCACAACAACAACTACAACAACTACTACAGCCACAACAACTACCACAACAACCACAACAACTTCCACAACAACAACAACTACCACAACAACAACTACCACAACAACAACAACTACTACAGCCACAACAACAGCCACAACAACTACCACAACAACAACAACCACCACCACAACTACCACAACAACAACTACTACAGCCACAACAACAGCCACAACAACTACCACAACAACAACAACCACCACCACAACTACCACAACAACAACTACTACAGCCACAACAACAGCCACAACAACTACCACAACAACAACAACCACCACCACAACTACCACAACAACAACTACTACAGCCACAACAACAGCCACAACAACTACCACAACAACAACAATAACAACCACAACTACCACAACAACAACAACTACCACAACAACAACAACCACCACCACAACTACCACAACAACAACTACTACAGCCACAACAACAGCCACAACAACTACCACAACAACAACAACCACCACCACAACTACCACAACAACAACTACTACAGCCACAACAACAGCCACAACAACTACCACAACAACAACAACCACCACCACAACTACCACAACAACAACTACTACAGCCACAACAACAGCCACAACAACTACCACAACAACAACAATAACAACCACAACTACCACAACAACAACAACTACCACAACAACAACAACAACTACTACAGCCACAACAACAGCCACAACAACTACCACAACAACAACAACCACCACCACAACTACCACAACAACAACTACTACAGCCACAACAAGCACAACAACCACAACAACAACCACAATCACAACAACCACCACCACAACAACAACAACAACCACCACAACTACCACAACAACAACTACTACAGGCACAACAACCACAACAGCAACCACAACAACAACCACAATCACAACAACTACCACAACAACTACCACAACAACAACAACCACCACAACAACAACAACCACCACCACAACAACTACTACAGCCACAACAACAACCACGTTGCTAATTATGATGCTGCTGCTGATGATGATGCTGATGATGATGCTACTCATGATGATGATGATGATGTTACTGATGATGATACTGATGATGATGATGTTGATGATGTTATTGATGATGATGATGCTACTGGTGATGATGATACTGATGATGATGCTACTGATGATGCTACTGATGATGATGATGCTGATGATGCTACTGATGATGATGATGATGCTGATGATGCTACTGATGATGATGTTGCTGATGATGATGCTGCTGCTGATGATGATAATGATGCTACTGATGACGATGATGATGCTGATGATGATGCTGATGATGATGCTGATGATGATGCTACTGACGATGTTGATGCTGATGATGATGCTGCTGATGCGGATGATGATGCTGATGATGATGCTACTGACGATGATGATGCTGATGATGATGCTGATGCTACTGCTGATGATGCTGATGATGCTCATGATGATGCTGCTGATGATGATGCTACTGATGCTGATAATGATGATGCTACTGATGATGCTGATGATGAGGATGCTAATGATCATGCTACTGATGATGATGATGCTGATGATGCTACTGATGATGCTAATGATGATGCTGATGATGCTGCTGATGATGCTACTGATGATGATGATGCTGATGATGCTACTCATGATGCTGATGCTGATGATGCTGCTGATGATGATGCTGATGATGATAATGATGCTACTGATGATGATGATGATACTGATGATGATGCTACTGATGATGATGCTACTGATGATGATGATGCTAATGATGATGCTGATGATGCTGATGATGATGTTACTGATGATGCTGATGATGATGCTACTGATTATGATGCTATTGATGATGATGCTTATGATGCTACTGATGATGATGATGATGCTGATGATGCTGATGATGATGCTACTGATTATGATGCTACTGATGATGATGCTGATGATGATGCTACTGCTGCCGATGATGATGCTGATGATGATGATGCTACTGATGATGATGTTGATGCCACAGCGCTGGGATCGGCCGGACGGGCACTTTTATCGTCATCGACATCCTCACCAAGCTGATCGCTCACCACGGTGAGGAGCTCACCCGCACACAGACAAAGCTCCCCCAGGTAGCCTCTAGCAGGCTGTAGGGGCAAGTGCTGTCAGTAGTAGCAGCACCTACACACAGACAAAGTTCCCCCAGGTAGCCTCAAGCAGGCTTTAGGGGCAAGTGCTGTTAGTAGTAGCAGCACCTGCACACAGACAAAGTTCCCCCAGGTAGCCTCTAGCAGGCTGTAGGGGCAAGTGCTGTTAGTAGTAGCGAGTGTGTCTATCTGTGTGTGCGTCTGGGTGTCTATCTGTGTGTGTGTGTCTATCTGTGTGTGTCTATCTGTGTGTGTGTCTGGGTGTGTGTGTTATATCTGTGTGTGTGTGTCTGTGTGTGTCTATCTGTGTGTGTGTGTCTGGGTGTGTGTGTCTATCTGTGTGTCTATCTGTGTGTCTATCTGTGTGTGTCTATCTGTGTGTCTGTGTGTCTATCTGTGTGTGTCTATCTGTGTGTGTCTATCTGTGTGTCTGTGTGTCTATCTGTGTGTGTGTCTATCTGTGTGTGTCTGTCTAGGAGTCGAAAGTGACATCGACGTTTCTGCCACGATCCAGAAAGTTCGTGCCCAGCGATCCGGCATGGTGCAGACAGAGGCTCAGTACAAGTTTGTCTACATGGCTGTACAAGCCTACTTAGACATGGTGTGTGTCTATCTGTGTGTGTGTGTGTCTGTGTGTGTGTCTGTCTATCTGTGTCTGTGTGTGTGTTTGTGTGTGTGTCTGTGTGTGTGTCTGTGTGTGTACAAGTTTGTCTACATGGCTGTAAAAGCCTACTTAGACATGGTGTGTGTCTATCTGTGTGTGTGTGTCTGTCTGTGTGTGTGTCTGTGTGTGTGTCTGTGTTTATCTGTCTGTCTGTGTGTCTGTGTGTGTGTGTCTGTGTGTCTGTGTGTGTGTGTCTGTGTGTGTGTGTTTCTGTGTGTGTGTCTGTGTGTGTGTCTGTGTCTATCTGTCTGTCTGTGTGTGTGTGTGTCTGTGTGTGTGTTTCTGTGTGTGTGTCTGTGTGTGTACAAATTTGTCTACATGGCTGTACAAGCCTACTTAGACATGGTGTGTGTCTATCTGTGTGTGTGTCTGTGTGTGTGTGTCTGTGTGTGTGTCTGTGTCTATCTGTCTGTCTGTGTGTCTGTGTGTGTGTGTCTGTGTGTGTGTTTCTGTGTGTGTGTCTGTGTTTATCTGTCTGTCTGTGTGTGTGTCTGTGTGTGTGTCTGTGTGTGTGTAAAAGTTTGTCTACATGGCTGTACAAGCCTACTTAGACATGGTGTGTGTCTATCTGTGTGTGTGTCTGTGTGTGTGTGTCTGTGTGTGTGTCTGTGTCTATCTGTCTGTGTGTGTGTGTGTCTGTGTGTGTGTCTGTCTATCTGTGTGTATGTCTGTATGTGTCTGTGTGTGTGAGTGTGTCTGTGTGTGTCTATCTGTCTGTGTGTGTGCGTCTGTGTGTATGTGTGTGTGTCTGTGTGTGTGTACAAGTTTGTCTAAATGGCTGTACAAGCTTACTTAGACATGGTGTGTGTCTATCTGTGTGTGTGTGTGTCTGTGTGTGTGTGTCTGTGTGTGTGTCTGTGTTTATCTGTCTGTCTGTGTGTCTGTGTGTGTGTCTGTCTATCTGTGTCTGTGTGTGTGTCTGTGTGTGTGAGTGTGTCTGTGTGTGTGTCTGTGTGTGTGAGTGTGTCTGTGTGTGTGTCTGTCTGTGTGTCTGTGTGTGTGTGTGTCTGTCTATCTGTGTGTGTTTGTGTGTGTGTCTGTGTGTGTGTCTGTGTGTGTCTCTGTGTGTCTGTGTGTGTCTCTCTCTGTGTATGTCTGTGTGTGTCTGTGTGTGTGTGTCTGTGTGTGTCTGTGTGTGTCTGTCTCTCTGTGTGTCTGTGTGTGTGTCTCTGTGTGCGTCTCTCTGTATGTGTCTGTGTGTCTCTGTGTGTGTCTCTGTGTGTCTGTGTGTGTGTGTCTGTGTGTGTCTCTCTCTGTGTGTGTCTGTGTGTGTGTCTGTGTGTGTGTCTGTGTGTGTCTGTATCTGTATGTGTGTGTGTCTGTGTGTGTGTGTCTCTGTGTGTGTCTCTCTCTGTGTGTGTCTGTGTGTGTCTGTATCTGTATGTGTGTGTGTGTCTGTGTGTGTCTCTCTGTGTGTGTCTCTCTGTGTGTCTCTCTGTGTGTGTCTCTATGTGTGTCTCTGTGTGTGTGTCTGTGTCTGTGTGTGTGTCTGTGTGTGTGTGTGTGTCTCTGTGTGTCTGTGTGTGTCTCTCTCTGTGTGTCTGTGTGTGTCTGTGTGTGTCTCTCTGTGTGTGTCTCTGTGTGTGTCTCTCTGTGTGTGTGTCTCTGTGTGTGTCTCTCTCTGTGTGTGTCTGTGTGTGTGTCTGTGTCTCTCTGTGTGTGTCTCTGTGTGTGTCTCTCTGTGTGTGTCTGTGTCTGTGTGTGTGTCTGTGTGTGTGTGTGTTTCTCTGTGTGTGTCTGTGTGTGTCTCTCTCTTTGTGTGTCTGTGTGTGTCTGTGTGTGTCTGTATCTGTATGTGTGTGTGTGTCTGCGTGTGTCTCTCTGTGTGTGTGTCTCTGTGTGTGTCTCTCTCTGTGTGTGTCTGTGTGTCTGTGTCTCTCTGTGTGTGTGTCTATGTGTGTCTCTGTGTGTGTCTGTGTGTGTCTCTCTCTGCGTGTATCTGTGTGTGTCTGTGTGTGTCTGTATCTGTATGTGTGTGTGTCTGTGTGTGTGTGTGTCTGTGTGTGTCTCTGTGTGTGTGTGTCTCTCTGTGTGTCTCTCTGTGTGTGTCTGTGTGTGTCTCTCTCTGCGTGTATCTGTGTGTGTCTGTGTCTCTGTGTGTGTGTCTGTGTGTGTCTCTGTGTGTGTCTGTGTGTGTCTCTCTCTGCGTGTGTCTGTGTGTGTCTGTGTGTGTCTGTATCTGTATGTGTGTGTGTGTGTCTGTGTGTGTCTCTCTGTGTGTGTGTCTCTGTGTGTCTCTCTGTGTGTCTCTGTGTGTGTGTCTCTCTCTGTGTGTCTCTCTGTGTGTGTCTGTGTGTGTCTGTGTGTGTCTGTATCTGTATGTGTGTGTCTGTGTGTGCCTCTCTGTGTGTCTCTCTGTGTGTCTCTCTGTGTGTCTCTCTGTGTGTGTGTCTCTCTGTGTGTCTCTCTATGTGTCTCTCTGTGTGTGTCTCTCTGTGTGTCTCTCTGTGTGTCTCTCTGTGTGTGTCTCTCTGTGTGTCTCTCTGTGTGTGTCTCTCTGTGTGTCTCTCTCTGTGTGTGTCTGTGTGTGTCTCTCTGTGTGTCTCTGTGTGTGTCTCTCTCTGTGTCTCTGTGTGTGTCTCTGTGTGTGTCTCTCTGTGTGTGTCTCTGTGTGTGTCTCTGTGTGTGTCTCTGTGTGTGTCTCTCTCTGTGTGTGTCTGTGTGTGTCTCTCTGTGTGTCTCTGTGTGTCTCTCTGTGTGTCTCTCTGTGTGTGTCTCTGTGTGTGTCTCTGTGTGTGTCTCTCTGTGTGTCTCTCTGTGTGTCTCTCTGTGTGTCTCTGTGTCTCTCTGTGTTTCTCTGTGTGTGTCTCTGTGTGTGTGTCTCTGTGTGTGTGTCTCTCTGTCTCTCTCTCTGTGTGTCTCTGTGTGTGTCTCTGTGTGTCTCTCTGTGTGTCTCTCTGTGTGTGTCTCTGTGTGTGTCTCTCTGTGTCTCTCTGTGTGTGTCGCTGTGTCTCTCTGTGTGTGTCTCTGTGTCTCTTTGTGTTTCCTCAATGGAACATTTTGTAAAAATGTTGGAAGTAAATTAGAGGAAACTGTGGAAACTGTGTGTGTGCGTGTGTGTGTCTGTGTGTGTGTCAGTGTGTGTGTGTGCGTGTGTGTGTCAGTGTGTGTCTGTGTGTGTGTGTGTGTGTCAGTGTGTGTGTGTGTGTCTGTGTGTGTCTGTGTGTGTGTGTCTGTGTGTGTGTGTGCGTGTGTCTGTGTGTGTGTCTGTGTGTGTGTCTGTGTGTGTGTCTGTGTCAGTGTGTGTGTCTGTGTGTGTGTCAGTGTGTGTGTGTGTCTGTGTGTGTGTCAGTGTGTGTGTGTCAGTGTGTGTGTGTCAGTGAGTGTGCGTGTGTGTGTGTCAGTGTGTGTGTCTGTGTGTGTGTCAATGTGTGTGTCTGTGTGTGTGTCTGTGTGTGTGTGTGTGTCTGTGTGTGTGTCAGTGTGTGTGTGTCAGTGTGTGTGTGTCAGTGAGTGTGCGTGTGTGTGTGTCTGTGTGTGTGTGTGTGTGTCTGTGTCTATGTGTGTGTGTCTGTGTGTGTGTCAGTGTGTGTGTCTGTGTGTGTGTCAGTGAGTGTGTGTCAGTGTGTGTGTGTCTGTGTGTGTGTGTGTGTGTCTGTGTGTGTCTGTGTGTGTGTGTCTGTGTGTGTGTCAGTGTGTGTGTGTCAGTGTGTGTGTGTGCGTGTGTGTGTCTGTGTGTGTGTCAATGAGTGTCTGTGTGTGTGTGTCTGTGTGTGTGTCAGTGAGTGTGTGTCAGTGTGTGTGCGTGTGTGTGTCTGTGTGTGTGTCTGTGTGTGTGTGTGTCTGTGTGTGTCTGTGTGTGTGTCTGTGTGTGTGTCTGTGTGTGTGTCTGTGTCAGTGTGTGTGTCTGTGTGTGTCAGTGTGTGTGTATCTGTGTGTGTGTCTGTGTGTGTGTCTGTGTGTATGTCAGTGTGTGTGTCAGTGTGTGTGTGTCAGTGAGTGTGTGCGTGTGTGTGTGTGCGTGCGTGTGTCTGTGTGTGTGTGAGTGTGTGTGTCTGTGTGTGTGTCAGTGAGTGTGTGTCAGTGTGTGTCAGTGTGTGTGTGTGTGTCTGTGTGTGTCAGTGAGTGTGTGTCAGTGTGTGTGCGTGTGTGTGTCTGTGTGTGTGTCAGTGTGTGTGTGTCTGTGTGTGTGTCAGTGTGTGTGTCTTGTGTGTGTGTGTGTCTGTGTGTGTGTCAGTGAGTGTGTGTCTGTGTGTGTGTCAGTGAGTGTGTGTGTCAGTGTGTGTCAGTGTGTGTGTCTGTGTGTGTGTCAATGTTTGTGTCTGTGTGTGTGTCAGTGAGTGTGTGTCAGTGTGTGTGTCAGAGTGTGTGTCAGTGTGTGTGTCTGTGTGTGTGTCAGTGAGTGTGTGTCAGTGTGTGTGTGTCAGTGTGTGTGTCTGTGTGTGTGTCTGTGTGTGTGTCAATGAGTGTGTGTGTGTCAGTGTGTGTGTGTCAGTGTGTGTGTCAGTGTGTGTGTGTCAGTGAGTGTGTCTGTGTGTGTGTGTCTGTGTGTGTGTCAATGAGTGTGTGTGTGTCAGTGTGTGTGTGTCAGTGTGTGTGTCAGTGTGTGTGTGTCAGTGTGTGTGTCTGTGTGTCTGTGTGTGTCTGTGTGTGTGTCTGTGTGTGTGTCAGTGAGTGTATTGTCTGTGTGTGTCCGTGTGTGTACGTGTGTGTGTGTCTGTGTGTGTCTGTCTGTGTGTGTCTGTGTGTGTGTGTGTGTCTGTGTCTGTGTCTATGTGTGTGTGTCTGTGTGTGTGTCAGTGTGTGTGTCTGTGTGTGTGTCAGTGAGTGTGTGTCAGTGTGTGTGTGTGTCTGTGTGTGTGTGTGTCTGTGTGTGTCTGTGTGTGTGTGTCTGTGTGTGTGTCAGTGTGTGTGTGTCAGTGTGTGTGTGTGCGTGTGTGTGTCTGTGTGTGTGTCAATGAGTGTCTGTGTGTGTGTGCGTGTGTGTGTCTGTGTGTGTGTCTGTGTGTGTGCGTGTGTGTGTCTGTGTGTGTGTCTGTGTGTGTGTGTCTGTGTGTGTCTGTGTGTGTGTCTGTGTGTGTGTGTCTGTGTGTGTCTGTGTCAGTGTGTGTGTCTGTGTGTGTCAGTGTGTGTGTATCTGTGTGTGTGTGTCTGTGTGTGTGTCTGTGTGTATGTCAGTGTGTGTGTGTCAGTGTGTGTGTATCTGTGTGTGTCTGTGTGTGTGTCAGTGTGTGCGTATCTGTGTGTGTCTGTGCCTGTGTGTGTCTGTGTGTGTCTGTGTGTATGTACACACACAGACACACACAGACACACACACTCACAACTCTTTCCTCAATGGAACATTTTGTAAAAATGTTGGAAGTAAATTAGAGGAAGTTGTGGAAAATGTGTGTGTGCGTGTGTGTGTCTGTGTGTGTGTCAATGTGTGTGTCTGTGTGTGTGTCTGTGTGTGTGTGTCAGTGTGTGTGTCAGTCTGTGTGTATGTACACTGTGTGTATGTGTGGATGTATGTGAGTCTGTGTGTATGTACACTACGTGTAAACTATGTGTATGTGTATACTGCTGTGTGTGTCTGTGTGTGTGTGTCAGTGTGTGTGTATGTGTGTGTCTGTGTGTGTGTGTCTGTGTGTGTGTCTGTATGTGTGTGTCTGTGTGTGTGTCTGTGTGTGTGTCTGTGTGTGTCTCTGTGTGTGTATGTACACTATGTGTAAACTATGTGTATACTGCTGTGTGTATGTCTGTGTGTGTGTGTCAGTGTGTGTCTGTGTGTGTGTCTGTGTGTGTCTGTGTGTGTCTCTGTGTGTGTCTGTGTCTGTGTGTGTCTCTGTGTGTGTCTGTGTGTGTGTGTGTCAGTGTGTGTCTGTGTGTGTGTCTGTGTGTGTGTCTGTGTGTGTCTCTGTGTGTGTCTGTGTGTGTGTCAGTGTGTGTCTGTGTGTGTCTGTGTGTGTGTCTGTGTGTGTCTCTGTGTGTCTGTGTGTATGTACACTATGTATGTACACTATGTGTATGTGTATACTGCTGTGTGTATGTACACTATGTGTGTACACTATGTGTGTACACTATGTGTATACACTATGTGTGTACACTATGTGTATACTGCTGTGTGTGTGTACACAATGTGTGTACACTATGTGTGTACACTATGTGTGTACTATGTGTATACTGCTGTGTGTATGTACACTATGTGTGTACACTATGTGTATACACTATGTGTGTACACTATGTGTGTACACTATGTTTATACTGCTGTGTGTATGTGTGTACACTATGTGTATACACTATGTGTGCACACTATGTGTATACTGCTGTGTGTATGTGTACACTATGTATGTACACTATGTGTGTACAGTATGTGTACACTATGTGTGTGTACACTATGTGTATACACTATGTATGTACACTATGTGTGTATGTACACTATGTGTATGTGTATACTGCTGTGTGTGTACACTATGTGTGTACACTATGTGTATACACTATGTGTGTACTATGTGTATACTGTTGTGTGTGTGTGCTATGTGTATGTGTACACTATGTGTGTACACTATGTGAACTATGTGTATACTGCTGTATGTGTGTACACTATGTGTACACTGCTGTGTGTGTGCTATGTGTGTGTACTATGTGTGTACACTATGTGTATACTGCTGTGTGTGTGTACTATGTGTGTGTGTACTATGTGTGTGTGTACACTGTGTGTACTGCTGTATGTGTGTGTACACTGTGTGTACTGCTGTATGTGTGTGTACACTATGTGTATACTGCTGTGTGTGTACTATGTGTACTATGTGTATACTGCTGTATGTGTGTACACGATGTGTGTGTAAACTATGTGTGTACACTATGTGTACACTATGTGTATACTGCTGTGTGTGTGTGCTATGTGTGTACACTATGTGTACACTATGTGTATACTGCTGTGTGTGTGTGCTATGTGTGTACACTATGTGTGTACACTATGTGTACACTATGTGTATACTGCTGTGTGTGTGTGCTATGTGTGTACACTATGTGTGTACACTATGTGTACACTATGTGTATACTGCTGTGTGTGTGTACACTATGTGTATACTGCTGTGTGTGTGTACTATGTGTACTATGTGTATACTGCTGTATGTGTGTGTACACGATTTGTGTGTAAACTATGTGTGTACACTATGTGTACACTATGTGTATACTGCTGTGTGTGTGTGTGCTATGTGTGTGTAAACTATGTGTGTACAATATGTGTACACTATGTGTATACTGCTGTATGTGTGTGTGTGCTATGTGTGTGTACATTGTGTGTACTATGTGTATACTGCTGTGTGTGTGTGCTATGTGTGTACACTATGTGTGTACACTATGTGTATACTGCTGTATGTGTGTGCTATGTGTGTACACTATGTGTGTACACTATGTGTATACTGCTGTATGTGTGTGCTATGTGTGTACACTATGTGTGTACACTATGTGTATACTGTTGTATGTGTGTACACTATGTGTGTACACTATGTGTATACTGCTGTATGTGTGTACACTATGTGTATACTGTTGTATGTGTGTACACTATGTGTATGTGTATACTGCTGTATGTGTGTACACTATGTGTATACTGTTGTATGTGTGTACACTATGTGTGTACACTATGTGTATGTGTATACTGTTGTATGTGTGTACACTATGTGTGTACACTATGTGTATACTGCTGTATGTGTGTACACTATGTGTATGTGTATACTGTTGTATGTGTGTACACTATGTATGTGTGTACACTATGTATGTGTATACTGTTGTATGTGTGTACACTATGTGTATACTGCTGTGTGTGTGTGCTATGTGTGTGTACTATGTATGTACACTATGTGTATACTGCTGTGTGTGTGCTATGTGTACTCTATGTACACTATGTGTACACTATGTGTATACTATGTGTACTATGTGTACACTATGTGTATACTGCTGTGTGTGTGTGCTATGTGTGTACCATGTGTGTGTGTGTGTGCTATGTGTACACTATGTGTACACTATGTTTGTACTGCTGTGTGTGTACTATGTGTACTATGTGTGTACACTATGTGTGTACACTATGTGTATACTGCTGTGTGTGTGCTATGTGTGTGTGTACACTATGTGTGTACACTATGTGTATACTGCTGTGTGTGCTATGTGTGTGTACTATGTGTGTACACTATGTTTATACTGCTGTGTGTGTGTGCTATGTGTGTACTATGTGTGTACACTATGTGTGTACTGCTGTGTGTGTGTGCTATGTATATACACTATCTATGTACACTATGTGTATACTGCTGTATGTGTGTGCTCTGTGTGTACACTATGTGTGTACACTATGTGTATACTGTTGTATGTGTGTACACTATGTATGTACACTATGTGTATACTGCTGTATGTGTGTGCTCTGTGTGTACACTATGTGTGTACACTATGTGTGTACACTATGTGTATACTATGTGTGTGTGCAATGTGTGTGTACTATATGTACACTATGTGTACACTGTGTGCGTACACTGTGTGTGTGTGTGCTATGTGTGTACACTATGTGTGTGTGTACACTATATGTGTGTGTGTGCTATGTGTGTATACTATCTGTGTATACTATGTGTGTGTACTATGTGTGTATACTATGTGTGTACACTATGTGTTTATACTGCTGTGTGTACACTATGTGTGTGTGTACACTATGTGTGTGTGTGTGCTATGTGTGTGTACTATGTGTGTACACTATGTGTACACTATGTGTGTACACTATGTGTACACACTGTGTGTGTACTATATGTACACTATGTGTATACTGCTGTGTGTACACTATGTGTGTGTGTGCTATGTGTGTATACTATGTGTGTATATACTATGTGTGTGTGTGTGCTATGTGTGTGTACTATGTGTGTATACTATGTGTGTACACTATGTGTACACTATGTGTACACACTGTGTGTGTGTGTGTGTACTATATGTACACTATGTGTATACTGCTGTGTGTACACTATGTGTGTGTGTGCTATGTGTGTGTAATATGTGTGTACACTATGTGTGTATACTATGTGTGCATACTATGTGTACACTATGTGTGTGTGCTATGGTTATGTTATCCTCAGAAGAACAGAGATTTACAGAATCAGGAACCCACTGTACCCACACAAAGACAAAGCTCTCTACGGTAACTGTACACACTGTACACCACCCACTGTACTACTCATTGTACTACTCGCTGCGTACTGTACACTACACTACATTATACACTACACTATACATTACACTACATTATACACTACACTATACACTACATTATACACTAAACTATATTATACACTATACACTACACACTACACTACACACTACACTACACACTACACTATACACTACACTACACACTACACTACACACTACACTATACACTACACTATACACTACATTATACACTACATTATACACTACACACTACACTATACACTACACACTACACTACACACTACACTATACAATACACTATACACTACACACTACACTACACTACACACTACACTATACACTACACTACATTATACACTACACTATACACTACATTATACACTACACTATACATTACACTACATTATACACTACACTATACACTACATTATACACTACACTATACATTACACTACATTATACACTACACTATACACTACACTACATTATACATTACACTATACACTACATTATACACTACACTATACATTACACTACATTATACACTACATTATACACTACACACTACACTATACACTACACTATACACTACATTATACACTATACACTACATTATACACTACACACTACACTACACTACACACTACACTACATTATATACTACACTACTACACACTACACTATACACCACACTACGATACACTTATACACTACATTATACACTACACTATACATTACACTACATTATACACTACACTATACATTACACTACATTATACACTATACACTACATTATACACTACACACTACACTACACACTACACTATACACTACACTATACACTACATTATACACTACATTATACACTATACACTAAACACTACACTACACACTACACTACACACTACACTATACACTACACTACATTATATACTACACTACTACACACTGCACTATACACCACACTACGATACACTTATACACTACATTATACACTACACTATACATTACACTACATTATACACTACACTATACACTACATTATACACTACACTATACATTACACTACATTATATACTACACTATACACTATACACTACACTATACACTACATTATATACTACACTATACACTACACTACATTATATACTACACTACTACATACTACACTATACACCACACTACGATACACTTATACACTACACTATACACTACACTATACACTATAGACTACACTATACACTACACTATACACTACACTACATTATATACTACACTACTACATACTACACTATACACCACACTACGATACACTTATACACTACATTATACACTACACTATACACTACACTACTATACACCACTATATACACACTATACACTACACTATACAATAGACTACACACTACACTACACTATACACTACACTATACACTACACTACACACTACACTATACACTACACTACACTATACACTACACTACACACTACACTATACACTACACTATACACTACACTACACACTACACTATACACTACACTATACACTACACTATACACTACACTATACACTACACTATACACTACACTATACACTACACTACATTATACAGTACACTACTACACACTACACTATACACCAGACTACACTATACACTACACTATACACTACATTATACACCACTCTATACTACACTATACACTACACTATACATTACACTATTCACTACACACTACATTATACACTATAATACATTACACACTATACTATACACTACATTATACACTACATTACATTATTCACTACATTACATTATACACTACACTATACACTACACTATACACTATATTATACACTACTATACACTACATTACACACTACACAATACACTACATTGTACACTACATTATGCACTGCACTACTATACACTACACACTACACTATACACTACACTAGTATACACTACACTATACACTGCACTATACACTACACTAGTATACATTACACTATACACTACACTATATTTGAACCGGTCATGGGTGAGTGAGTGGGTGACTGAATGAGTGAGTGGGTGAGTGGCTGAGTGAATGAGTGAGTGGGTGAGTGAGTGGGTGAGTGAGTGAGTGGGTGAGTGAGTGAGTGAATGGGTGAGTGAGTGTGTGTGTCTGTGTGGTGGGTGAGTGGTGAGTGAGTGGGTGAGTGGGTGGGTGAGTGAGTGGGTGGGTGAGTGGTGAGTGAGTGGGTGAGTGAGTGGTGAGTGAGTGGGTGAATGAGTGGGTGAGTGGGTGGGTGAGTGAGTGGGTGGGTGAGTGGGTGAGTGGTGAGTGACTGAGTGAGTGAGTGAGTGACTGAGTGAGTGGGTGAGTGAGTGGGTGAGTGGTGAGTGAGTGGGTGAGTGAGTGGTGAGTGAGTGGTTAGTGAGTGGGTGATCGAGTGAGTGGGTGGTGAGTGGGTGAGCGAGTGAGTGGTTGGGTGAGTGAGTGGGTGAGTGAGTGGTGAGTAAGTGAGTGTGTGAGCGAGTGAGTGGGTGAGTGAGTGGGCGAGTGAGTGGTGAGTAACGTGTGTGTCTGTGTGGTGAGTAAGTGGTGAGTGAGTGGGTGAGTGGAAGGGTGAGTGAGTGAGGGGGTGAGTGAGTGAGTGAGTGGTGAGTGGGTGAGTGGGTGGTGAGTGAGTGGATGAGTGACTAAATGAGTGAGTGGTGAGTGAGTGGTGTGTGGGTGAGTGAGTGGGTGGGTGAGTGAGTGGGAGTGAGTGAGTGGGTGAGTGAGTGAGTGGTGAGTAAATGTGTGTGTTGTCTGTGTGGTGAGTGGGTGGGTGAGAGGGTGAGTGAGTAGGTGAGTGCGTGAGTGGTGAGTGAGTGAGTGGTGAGTGAGTGAGCGATTGAGTGAGTGGTGAGTGAGTGAGTGTGTGAGTGAGTGACTGAGTGGGTGAGTGAGTGAGTTGGTGAGTGGGTGAGTGAGTGAGTGAGCGAGTGAGTGGGTGAGCGAGTGGGTGAGTGAGTGGGTGAGTGAGTGGGTGGGTGAGTGAGTAGGAGTGAGTGGGTGAGTGAGTGAGTGAGTGGGTGAGTGAATGAGTGAGTGGGTGAGTGAGTGGGTGAGTAAGTGAGCGGTTGAGTGAGTGGTGAGTGAGTGAGTGGGTGAGCGAGTGAGTGAGTGAGTGGGTGAGTGAGTGGGTGAGTGAGTGAGTGAGTTGGTGAGTGGGTGAGTGGGTGAGTGAATGAGTGGGTGGGTGAGTGAATGAGTGGGTGAGTGAATCGGTGAGTGAGTGAGTAGGTGAGTGAGTGAGTGGGTGAGTGAGTGAGTGAGTGGGTGAGTGAGTGAGTGGGTGAGTGAGTGGGTGGGTGAGTGAGTGGGTGGGTGAGCAGGTGAGTGAATGGGTGAGTGAGTGAGTGGGTGAGTGAATGAGTGGTGAGTGAGTGGGTGAGTGAGTTACTGAGTGGGTGAGTGGGTGAGTATTGAGTGAGTGAGTGGGTGAGTGAGTGAGTGGTGAGTGAGTGACTGAGTGGGTGAGTGAGTGTGTGAGTGTTGAGTGAGTGAGTGGGTGAGTGTTGAGTGAGTGAGTGGGTGAGTGAGTGAGTGGTGAGTGAGTGAGTGGGTGAGTAGGTGAGTGAGTGAGTAGGTGAGTGAGTGGGTGAGTGAGTGAGTGGGTGAGTGAGTGGGTGAGTGTTGAGTGAATGAGTGATGAGTGAGTGAGTGGGTGAGTGAGTGACTGAGTGGGTGAGTGAGTGGGTGAGTGGGTGAGTGTTGAGTGAGTGAGTGGGTGAGTGAGTGGTGAGTGAGTGGTGAGTGTTGAGTGAGTAGGTGAGTGGGTGAGTGAGTGAGTGGGTGGGTGAGTGAGTGAGTGGGTGAGTGAGTGAGTGGGTGAGTGAATGAGTGGGTGAGTGAGTGGGTGAGTGAGTGAGTGGGTGAGTAGGTGAGTGAGTGGGTGAGTGAGTGAGTGAGTGGGTGAGTTAGTGGGTGAGTAGATGAGTGAGTGGGTAAGTGAGTGAGTGGGTGAGTGAATGAGTGGTGAGTGAGTGAGTGGGTGAGTGAGTGACTGAGTGGGTGAGTGAGTGGGTGAGTGTTGAGTGAATGAGTGATGAGTGAGTGAGTTGGTGAGTGAGTGACTCAGTGGGTGAGTGAGTGAGTGAGTGGGTGAGTGTTGAGTGAGTGAGTGGGTGAGTGAGTGGTGAGTGAGTGTTGAGTGAGTGAGTAGGTGAGTGAGTGGTGAGTGAGTGGTGAGTGTTGAGTGAGTAGGTGAGTGGGTGAGTGAGTGGGTGGGTGAGTGAGTGAATGGGTGGGTGAGTAAGTGAGTGAGTGGATGAGTGAGTGGGTGAGTGAATGAGTGGGTGAGTGAGTGGGTGAGTGAGTGAGTGGGTGAGTAGGTGAGTGAGTGAGTGGGTGAGTGAGTGGGTGAGTGAGTGGGTGGGTGAGTGAGTGGGTTAGTGAGTGAGTGGGTGGGTGAGTGAGTGAGTGGGTGGGTGAGTAGGTGAGTGAATGGGTGAGTGAGTGAGTGGGTGAGTGAATGAGTGGTGAGTGAGTGAGTGGTGAGTGAGTGAGTTGTGAGTGAGTGGTGAGTGAGTGGTGAGTAACTGTGTGTGTGTCTGTGTCGTGAGTGGGTGAGTGGGTGAGTGAGTGACTGAGTGGGTGAGTGAGTGAGTGAGTGGTGAGTGAGTGGTGAGTGAGTGGTGAGTAACTGTGTGTGTGTCTGTGTGGTGAGTGGGTGGGTGAGTGAGTGGTGAGTGAGTGGTGAGTGAATGGTGAGTAACTGTGTGTGTGTCTGTGTGGTGAGCGAGTGAGTGGGTGAGTGGTGAGTGAGTGGGTGCGTGAATGAGTGGTGAGTGAGTGAGTGGGTGAGTGGTTGAGTGTTGAGTGAGTGGGTGAGTGAGTGAGTGGTGAGTGAGTGGTAAGTAACTGTGTGTGTGTGGTGAGTGAGTGGTGAGTGAGTGAGTGGGTGAGTGAATGAGTGAGTGGGTGAGTGAGTGGGTG